CCCTCTGGTGGGAATGATCTCCCCCAACCCCTCCACTCTTGCACCTCGTAATTTAAATGTCACTCCTCTTGAATGTCCCCACATTTTGCTCCTGGAATCCCACAAGAGACCTCGGTCAGACTCCCTTCCCCCACTAATTATTTTCATAGAACTCTACATGTCTTTATTGTGCTTATTACAACTGTAACATATTGATTAATTGTGCGTGTATGTGTGTGTAATGACTGCCTTCCTTGCCAGACGGTAAACTCGTGTGTTTAATGCTGTATCCCTCGGGGCTGGCATTGGGGCTGGCACACAATACGTGCCCAGTAAATAGCTGTAGAATGAAACCATAAACTAAATGAATTAGTACTGAAAAGAGAAAAGTTCAGGGCTACATGCTGGGAGCATGTGGATTTTAAAATGTATGTGAGACGTTAAATTACTAATAGAATCTCAAAAAGCCATCTTGCTGAAGCATAGATTGTTTGCCCTGTCATTTCTCCGTTGATAAAAACTTCCAAGAACAAACGCATCATTATTCGAAGATGCCTCAGTGAATGCCAACACATAAACCACAGCAGCAAAGGCAGCTGACATTCTCTGAGTGTTTATTCTCTACCAGGCTTTGTACTGTGTGCTTTCCACGTATTCTCTCATAGAATCCTCACAAGAACCCTGAAAGGTAGATGCTTGGGTTTTTTGTTTGCTTGATTTTAATTTCTGTTTCCAAATGAGAAGACCAAGGTCCAGAGAGTTTAAATAACTTGCATGAGGTCCCTCAGCCAGTTAGTGGCAGGCCCAAAGTGGAGGGGAGGCAGGGCGGACTCAGTCCTGGGCCTGGCACAGAGCGCCACCCCTCCCCGACGGCCCTTCCCCTCATTAACTGGAATAGCTCTCTTATCTGTTTTATAAATTTATAAGCGGAGCCTCTGCCTTGGTTTTCTCTGAAGCCAGGGTTTTGTGGCTAAAGAGGAATGTGAAAACTCTAGGCCTGCAGGACAGATTTGACCTCTGCAGCCTCCTGCCTTCCTGCCATTAGACTCCCACCATGCTTCTGCCTGAAATGCAGTGGCCCGAAATGCTTCTAAGGCATTTTCCAAGTCTCGAGGCAGAGTTGTACTTTTTTGCCTGGTGCTCCTGCGGAAGGTCCACCCCTCTGTCCTAGTGCCACTCACACCCTTTCTAAGTAGTGGCTGACGAGTTTGTCTCCGCCACTGGACTGAGCCTCTGGGGAAGTTGGACCAGGCCTGCCTTCTCTCTGGAGCTCCTCGGCCTGGCCCGGGATCTGGCACAGGACTCAGGGGCCTCAGCCAGTGCTTGATGAATGAATGCACGCCAAGTGCAGAGCGGGTGCTCAGAACCAACCGGCTGAGTGCAGAAGCCTGGAGGACAAACCAGCGTGTGCCGGGAGAACCCCCTGAATGCGAGATGGAGATGATCAGATGTATTAATCACTGGTTTGGAAAGGAGTTAAAATATTTCCATAATATGGTATGTTTCTTTTCTAAAACAGATGTGCCCTCGTTGTTTCATGAGGAAGTAATTAAGTGTATTTGATTAAAACATTCATAAACGCTATCATTTATTCAAAGCTACTATGTGCTGCTGTCTTTATTGGTACTTTATATACGTATTATGTCTGGTTCTTCCCATCACCCTGTAAGGTGTTTTTATTATCTTCATTTTACAGGTGAGGAATCTGAGGCTCTGAGAGATTAAGTAGCTTGCCCAAGGATACTTAGCTTCTGAGTGATAGGCATGGGAATGAAACACATCTGGCTGACTTCAAAACCAGTGGGTTTCCATCACCCCAGCTGCTTCTGAACTTGTATTTGAGATACCTTTCGAGCCAACACCCCGAACCAGCATGCATATTCCCTTCTTCCTCTCCACCCTCCCTGTGCCCGCCACCACCCCCACTTCTTAACCCTCTCACAGCACCCCCTCTCCATTTCTTTAGATTATTGCCTCTGTGCTTGCATCCTGAAACTGAAACATTTTTGTCATTGACAGTAATTGGGTACTATTATGTATGGAAACTGTCTGCTGTTAACAGTCTACTGTGGTCTCATTTACATTAATACAAAATAATATGTTTGTATTAAGGCCAAATTACACTTACTACAATTTTGTTTTCTTTATATAGCCTTTTACTCCTAAGACATCTTTGAGTCCCAATTTATATTTTTTAAAAATACATATGGTTTTTTTCTTCACGTAAAATGTAAATGTAACAATGTGGTGAAAAGAAGTTGGTTAGATAAAAAATTTTTTATGAAAGATTGCCTAAGCAGTGGGATACTTATTTCAAATTATATATGAAATAGAAGATTGAAATACCTCTGCTCAGAGAAGTTTAAGAGGTTTCTTACAGACTCAGATTCATTTATTTTCTGCCCCTCCTAGTATTTCAGCAGGATTAAGTTTTTTGAATCACTGGATCAAGTTTTAATTTTCCTTTTCCTTCCTTATACTGACATATGCTTTGGCAGAACAAAAAAGAGACCTAAACATGTCAGCATGATTTTTGTTCAATGAATTAAAAACCATAAAAGTAACAAGATCTGATCCAAATCCCTAAACTCCTGACATGGTGGTTTTGTCCTTTTCAGTCCCAAGATTCGTATTACTGACTTTGAAAAGCTTTCTGCCTGGAAGCAGAAGTGATGGCAGCAATGCATAATTTATCTGAAATAGATTACAAGGGGTAGGCAGCACGGAGTAGTGGAAAGCACACAGGGCAGAGAGATCTGGATTTGAATCCCAGTCCCGTCACTCAGGCTCGTGGGTAAGTCACTCCACACCTGTGCGCCTCAATTTCCTCATTGGAAGATGGGGGGAGTCTAGCTGGAAGAGTTGTTGCGAGGGTCTTTGAGGTAGTGTACTTAAAGTACTCACCTGGCATAGATGGGCTTAATAATGGCAGTAATCAGGATCATTTCTACTTTGAGAATACCTTCAAATAGCTGAATCCAGAAGAATTGATTTATAATGCATCTGTCCGCTTTGTCTTCAGAGCTCATCTTTTCTCAAAATTCTTTAATTTTTTTTTCCCTCATCCTGTCAGGGAAAAAAAAAAAAATAGCAGGTAGATGCCACTAAATCTTTAACACCTGCTTGTCAGTGTTTCACATGGAACATAGACCCAGAACTTGGGATCGTCCTTACCAAGCAAGAACCACACTGATGGGAGGGTCAGGAACCGTAGGCCAGTGATGTCCATTTCGGGACCCAGGGGGGCAGAGGAATTTTGTCATATTGAGACTATTGGCTTTTGAGACAGGTCAGCCTGGGTTTGGCCCAAACTTCTTGGGCCTCATTCTCTTCATCTGTAAAGTGGTGCTCATGATCTTGCAAGACCCTCCATGGTATGGGTTTCCAGCCTCTTGTCACTCTCTTGTCTGTGTCCAGTAATTCCTCAAACGAAACCTGGTCTCTGCAGCTGAAAGCCTTTGTATGTGCTCTTTTCTTCCTCCTGGAAATCCATCCCTTGCCACGTCAGCACGGACAACCGGCACTCATTCTTCAGAACCTAGTTGTGTATTAGGACAGGACGGGCTATGCTGTAGTAACAGACAATCTCCAAATCTCCATGGCTTATCACAGAAATCTGTTTCTTGCTCATGCTGCCTGGTGGGTGCTGTTTATCATAGTCACTCTGGGACCCAAGCTGATGGAAGCTCCATCTCCACTTGTATTGCAGCCAACAGACACAAATATGGTGGAGCACACACTGGCTCTTAAAGCTTCTGCCCTGAGGTGCGTCATTTCTGCTCATGTTTCATTGACCAGAGCAGTTGTGGAGCCACACCAGACTTTAGAGATACAGGAAAAATCCTTTCCTACTGGAAGAAATAAGAAGCAGAACACTAGTGAGCAGACCCAAAGACTGCCGCACTTAGGTATTATTTCTTCAGGAGAGTCTTCCCTTGCTTGCTGCCTGCCCCAACTTGGACGGTTCCTGGCGAGTTAGCTGAGCTGCTTTTGTGCTCCTGTGGCACCTTGTACTTCTCCGCTTCCCTTACCACAGCACTTCCCACACTCCCATGGTAAATGTCTGGCTGAGGTCCCTACTAACAGAACAAAGGTCTGTTAGTGTTGACCACAAGTCTGTTACTGTTCACATGCCTGGCACTGCTTTTGTAGGTAAGTAGGCACTCAACTGTGTACGTGACCAAGAAACAAAGGCAGAGCAAACGTGTCGGGTTACTTTGCTGGGTTGTTGTGATGAGTCCACATAACATAAGAATAATAATAAGTGCCTCATATAGTTGTAAGGTTCAGCCTTTCCCAGGGGTTTCTAGTAGGCCTTCAATGTGCTCATTGGCGTTGTTAGGAGGAGGAAGGGAATAGTGAAAATAAGTGGCATTGAGCACTTACATGTGTCAGACACTCTCATGATGTCTCTGTGGAAGTTTCCTGGTGTGGTGGTTGGGACTCGTGTTATGTCTTGGTCAGTTTTGAAGTGACGCACAAGTAATTTGCTAAAATAATAAGATTCTGAAGATTGCTACTTGTTTCGGGTGATTTAGAGATTTGACAATGGCACGTTTCTATAGCATGATCACTCATTTGTGTTGCATCTTTAGTGGGTGAGAAAGGGGTAGAGGTAGAGCTAATAGTGACGTCCTTTTATTGAGTACTTAAAATGGGCCAGGGCCAGTGCTAAACAGTTTATGTGCACCATCTCATATAATCTTCACAGCATCCCCATTATAGAGGTGGGAACTCTGAGGAGAGGAAGTCAGTTATGCATGGTCAGGTGGCATGGTCCGGACACCCTGGGTTGAGCTTTTAAGCAGTACTCTTCGTAGCTCTCCTCACCTGACTCACCAGGAACTTTACTTGACCCTGACCACACCCCTGGGCACGTTTCAGGAACGTAAAGGTCATCACCAAAGGAGAGCAAAGCTCCAAACCGTGGAGCTAGTAGACAGAGTCATGTTAAATTCTTGGCTAACAGATACTGTAGAGGATGATCTTGCTGAAATGTTCTTCTTTTTTATTTTAATCAGAGTGACCAGGGAGCACAGGGAAATGCTGGTGAAACTGGCGAAACAGAACACCAACAAGGCCAAGGATTCTTTACGGAAAGTTCGTACCAACGCAATGAATAAGCTAAAGAAATCAAAAGACAAGGTCTCCGAGGACACCATTAGGCTCATAGAGAAACAGGTAACTACCGCCAACAGATGTAGTAGTTACGTCTCTGACGCAGGGAACCACTTGTTTGTGTCTGAAGAGAGAAAAACTAAAACAATACCCCTGGTTATTCCATTGACGTGATCAGGACTGATGGAGTCTCTGTTCTGGGCTTAGCCCTGGGGATATGGAGGAAGGGAGGGTGCTGTTGATGCTTTGCTAGGTCCCAGGCTCCACGCCGAACCCTTCATTTCTCCCCATTGCTACAGAGCTGTGAAGTGGGTCATGGGGAAACTGAGGTTCGGAGAAGGTAAATAACTCGCTCAAAGCCACACTGCTGGTAAGTGGTCCCAGTGGATCCCAACACAGGCAGACTAACTTCAGAGCCTGTTTGCTAATACTGTCGTGTGGTTGGTTGGGTGCTGACACAGAAGGACTTAACGGTGTTCTTCCTATGCTGAGTAGCGGCACTTGAACAGCTGCAGTAACACATTGAGAGACTGGAGGAAGGTAGAATAACAACGCAAAGGTATGCTGTGTAAAAGAACATTGTGCGGGTGGGTGACTGGTGTGAACAGTGGCTGGGACTTCGGAATGGGTAGAAAGGACACAGCGGCCAGTTCATGGAAGGGCTTGGAGGCCACGCTGAGCAGGTTGAACTTTAGCATGTCCAGAGACTCCCACACGGGCTGTGCCACTTTATCAGTTGTCTGAGAAATGCTGCCTAAGAGACCACCTCAAAACTCGGCGATTTACAATATCAGGCATTATTTCTTAGTCTCGTGTCTGCTCAGCTGGGGGGTCATGGTTCTAGGCTGGGCTTAGTGGGCTTGGCTCCAGATGTTGGATTGGGTTCAACTCTGCTTTATGTGTCTCTCAGTCTTCTGGAGTCAACAGTCTTCTCAGGGCATCTTTGCAACAGCAGATGCCAAGAGCGTAAGCCTAACCACTCAAGTACATTTTAAGCACCTGTTCTTGGTCCATCCCATTGGCCAAGTGAATCACATGGGCCAAGCCCAGTATCACTGAGACAGGAAAATATATATATTCATGGAACTGCAGGGGAGGGAGTGAATATTTATAGAATAGTAGTCTAATCCACCACAGCATCACAACCACTTGAGGAGCTTATAAAAATACAGGTTTCTGGGGCCCTGCTCTCAGAGATTGAGTCAGTGAGTCTGGGGTGGGGCCTAGAGATCTGCATTAAAAAAAAAAATTAATGTTTATTTTTGAGACAGAGTGAGTGGGGGAGGGGCAGAGAGAGAGGGAGACACAGAATCCGAAGCAGCCTCCAGGCTCTGACCTGTCAGCACAGAGCCCGACGCAGGGCTCAAACTCACAGACTGTGAGATCATGACTTGAGCCGGAGTCAGATGCTTAACTGACTGAGCCACCCAGACGCCCCATGGGATCTGCATTTTTAAATGCTCCTCCCGTGATTCTGATATAGTAACTCCCTGGCAAGATTTTTTCTTTTTTGCAGACCGTGGGGAGGTCATATCTGTGCTTATGAAAGATGACTATGGTGGCTGTGTAGAAGACAGATTGTAGGGGGCACGACTGGAGGCAGGGAGGCCAGGGGGGCTGTTACAGAAATCCAGCCAGGAAATGGTGGTCTGAACCTGAACCGGAACTGGTGGAATTAAGATAGGAAGATGAATTTACTAGTATTTAGGAGATAGAATAATGTTTAACGTAGTATAACAGGCTAGCTTAAAGCCTCTGCATCCACCATAGAATCATTATTTTAGGAAGATTGAATGTGAGTGTGGGCAGGATGGGGAGTAAGGAGAGAAGAGGTTGGAAGCAAGGAACGCTGTTAAGAGGCATCTGGAGGAGGCCATAAATTAACCAATTGCTCTCCTCCTGGACCAGCAGTTAGAATGCCAGTTGTAGGCCGGCCTTAACCACCACCAAAGAAAAAGCTGGGCCTGGGCTCTGCTCCTGCATTTTCTGATATTCAGTATGTTTACCTAGGAATGTATATTTTTTTTTTAATTTTTTTTTTTTCAACGTTTATT